TGGCCTGAAGAGAATAGACCCACAGCTGGTGTTTTTAATATTCAGTGACTTGCAAATTTCTTTTTAAAGTTGGGAAATACAGTTATCATCTTAAATGTAATTAGCCTTGGCCAGATGCAGTGGCTTACGCTTGTAATCCCAGCGCTTTGGGAGGCTGAGGCAGGCAGATCACCTGAGGTCAGGAGTTTGATACCAGCCTGGCCAACATAGCAAAACCCCATCTCTACTAAAATTATAAAAATTAGCCTGGCATGGTGGCGTGCGCCTGTAATCCCAGCTACTCTAGAGGCCGAGGCAGGAGAATCGCTTGAACCTGGGAGGCGGAGGTTGCAGTGGGCTGAGATCATGCCACTGCACTCTAGCCTGGGTGACAGAGTGAGACTCTGTCTCAGAAAAAAAAAAAAAAAAATTAGTCTTTACTAAAAACAAACACTAAATCATATATCAGTTTTTTTGTTTTTTTTTTTTTTTTTGAGATGGAGTCTCGCACTGTCGTCTAGGCTGGAGTGCAGTGGCACGATCTCGGCTCACTGCAACCTCCGCCTCCCAGATTCAAGTGATTCTCCTGCCTCAGCCTCCCGAGTTGCTGGGACTACAAGTACATGCCACCTCACCCAGCTAATTTTGTTGTATTTTTAATAAAGACGGGGTTTCACCATGTTGACCAGGATTTATGACAAGCCCTGGGAGTAAGATCTCTGTTTCACTAGTCCTTTGAATCATTAAACTTCTGTGCGGATTATTGCTCTTAGGAAGATAAAAAAGTGAACATTAGAGAATAGTAGTATTCTATAACTACATGACCTCAGGAACACAATCAAAGACTAAGGATTAGGAAGGGAGGGAAGATCACATTTCAATTTAAATACGTGTGGGCTTTGCCTCTTGTTATTTTTGCTAAGAAGGAACATGAAGCCTCCAGAACTATTGAGGTGTTGACCACAAAGTTTCTGTTTATTTTCCTGGGAATGAAACTTTTTACCAGGAAACACAGGATACCCTAAAATTCCTTAAAAATTTACATTGTTCATTTAACCTAAAGTTAATTCATCATTATATAAGTTACATTGGTTCTTCTATAGCAAAAGCACTAGATTCTGGCATTAGCTTTCTGCTTGTAGCCTGTTCAAAACTAAAAATGCCCTCAGAAGATTCAAATCCCAACATAGTACAAAGGCTCATTCTTCTGAAGAGTTCAGGGGACTATAGTTCTGACTCTGCTGTTATCTTGCTAAGGGTAAGTTCCATTTCCATCTAGTATTTATTTGACCCAGCCATAAAATGAGTGAATGATGATAGATTAGGGGTCACACGCTCAAATGCCAATAGGGGCCAGGCAGGTGATACAAAGGAAGTGGGCCAGGAGTAAGAATAATAGAAGGTGTGGCCAGGCGCGGTGGCTCAAGCCTGTAATCCCAGCACTTTGGGAGGCCGAGACGGGCGGATCACGAGGTCAGGAGATCGAGACCATCCTGGCTAACATGGTGAAACCCCGTCTCTACTAAAAAATACAAAAAACTAGCCGGGTGAGGTGGCGGGCGCCTGTAGTCCCAGCTACTTGGGAGGCTGAGGCAGGAGAATGGCGTAAACCTGGGAGGCAGAGCTTGCAGTGAGCTGAGATCCGGCCACTGCACCCCAGCCTGGGCGGCAGAGCAAGACTCCGTCTCAAAAAAAAAAAAAAAAAAAAAAAAGAATAATAGAAGGTGGTAAGAATAATAGGAGGTGGTGGTGGTGGTGCTGGTGGTGGTGATGAACAACGGAGTATGGCTCCGCTAAGGTTAGCAACCACCATCAGCTCCAGAAAATTGCCAGTGGGGAGAACAGGCTATTATTGCCAGAGACTGAATTCTCAAGAGAAGTCGGAAATATACTTTTAAAATAAGAACTCTCTTAATTTATTATTATTGGCAATGAATTCAAAATGATTTTTAAATACTGTGCAGGTAAATTAACCTAAGTACAGGCCAGATTCAGCCCAGAATCTGCATAACAATTTTCTGACTTCTGCCCTATGTGATCACTTAAGATCTTGCAACCTTAACTTCTAAATAGCAAATCTTTGCTTTTTTGTGCTGTTGATAAAATGGAAGATTTGATACTGTTTGAGAAAAGCAGGACAGGAGCTAGGGCTTGGGGGCTGCTGGGGAGACGGAGTAGTCTATTAATAGCTGCAGAAGGCTGATATAGCCTAGATCAAAAGGTATTTGCATAACGCCATAGGGCAGCTGTTCCTCTTAGCTGTTACGACAGTGGTGAAATAATAATACCATCATCAGCCACAATAACAAAACTACCTTTGCTTGTTCAGAGACTGACGTGCCACTCCTAGACTTTATAGAGTTGTTTCAGTCAATTGTGTTAATCCTTTTTATGAATGGCGAAGGAAAAACTGTCAAATAGAACAACAGGACTCCTGATAAGAAAACAAGGTGATTTTACCCTCTGCTTCACCTTTGGTAAGGAAGTGCTGTAGAGACACCTCCCAGCCTCCAGGGGTGGTATAATTAACAGAGCATTTGCTTGAGTCGGTAAAGGTGCAAAATAAGAACTGGTGCCATTGGGTCTTTCTTGCATAAATAACCTCATTATCTAAATCTTTCTGTCTCCAGTCTCAGGGTCATCTCCACACCACTTTATTTATTTATTTATTTATTTATTTTGAGACAGAGTCTTGCTCTATCACCCAGGCTAGAGTGCAGTGGTGCAGCCTCAGCTCACTGCAGCCTCCACCTCCTGGATTCAAGCAATTCTCCTGCCTCAGCCTCCTGAGTAGTGGCGATTACAGGCATGCACCACCACACCTGATTAATTTTTGTATTTTTAATAAAGACAGGGTTTGACCATATTGACCAGGATGGTCTCGATCTTCTGACCTCGTGATCCACCTGCCTCGGCCTCCCAAAGTGCTGGGATTACAGGCATGAGCCACTGCATCTGGCCTCCACACCACTTTCATAACATAGCCTTCCGTGTGGGAGGAAGTAAAGACAGCTGAGATCGGAACTTGGCCCTCCTCCACCCCACACAGATTTTTAGCTCTGCTACATTAGCCAAAGTCCTTACTATCCCTATAACTCAGTTTCGTCATGTATAAAAGGGCAATAATCTCAATGGCTACCTTACAAGGTTGATGTGAGATTAAAGGAAATCCTACCCTATCAGGTGAAATGCCTAGGTCTACTTGGTAGTACTGAACTATGTTCCCTTCCAAAGTTCTAATTTTCTCATCTAATTCCTCCTGCTACATTTAGAGTTCATCTGGTAATCATTTGCCCACCATGATGAGAAATAATTCCCCAGAATAGAATTATGAGGTTGAACTATATGGAACTGTCAATAGTCAGTATTATGGATCTACAAAATGACAATTTCATAAGGTTGAATGTACTATAACAGCAGTCACAAATCCAAAGGAGGGCAAAGAAGCTTCCCTTTCTATACTAGTTCTGAAACACACCTGAACAGCTTATAATCTCTATATTTGGGCAGGATGAGGCCTCTGGTTGGGGAACAGACACTTTCTCATTATAACTAAACTAACATTTGTCATCTACTTCCAGCTTACAAAGTGCTTTTAAAAATATGATTTCCTTTAACTTCACAACAACACTAGGGATGAATGTAAGCACACGACTTTCCATATGCTCCTACATTTGAACTCGTTGGTATGCTCTAGAACTTTGGGATGTGTAATGTGCTATCATGGTTCCAGCCTACATGCCTACACATTAAAAAGTATTTCAATTAACAAAGAGAATAATGTAAAGAAAGCCCTGCCATTTACTGTGTAAGATGAATCTGACAAAACACAGCTCTACAAACAACTGCACCAAATGCTTAGGTACATAGGGAGCACCCAGTTCTGGTATCCCCAGCACTTTTTACGAGGACAAGATGTTCTTGCATTTCCTCCACTTTTTATTGGTTGAAACTCCTGTCAATCTTAACCTGGCAGTTTGAGCAATCTATAAAACACCATTCATATTTCCATCTTTAAAGTTACCATCCATGCATAAAGACATTAAAAAAACTACCATAGAACCCAACCAGATGAGAACTCCCAACTGATTCATTTACTTAATATCCTCAAAGAAAACCATTTTCTGTGACAGCTCTGCAGGTGGTAGGCATCACATTTACTCTTCATTCATTCTTTCATGCGATAATTTTTTTGAAACTTTTTTTTGAGCACTTACTATGGACCAGGCCCTGTTTGAGGCCAGGGGTTGGCAAATTATAAGCCCATAGGCCAAATCGGACCCAGCCTTTGTTTTTGTAAATAAAGTTTATTGGAACATGGCCACACTCATTCATTTAAATGTCATGTATGGCTGCTTTGCAGCAGAGCTGAGTGGTTGTAACAGATCATTTGGCCCACAAAGCCAAAACTATCTGGCCATTTATTGAAAAACTTTGCTGACCCTGTTCCAAGTAAAGAGAGGTGACCAACAGAAACAAAGTCCCCATGTGTCTTCAGATGCTCTTAAACAGCAGACTGCACCAGATGAACCCTGTCACTTAGCCTAAGGGGCAGCCCAAGTTTGATCACGGTCTGGGTTGCTGCTGGGGGCTTGCAAGGAACAAGAAAAGGATGACAGGTGTGGAGAGAGACGTGCAAACGGGGTTAGAGGGAGGACATGTTGGGAAATTGGATTAGTGTAGAAACCAACTACAACAGGTGGGCCATGAGGATTCCCACTAAGGGGCACCCAAACCGGTGGTCCAGGTACCAATGCATCAGAATCACCTGGAGACATTATTACAAATGCATGCTACTGGGCCCCACCTGGGAATCGGAATCTGAGTTCCAGAGGTGCGACTAAGCTTCCACATTGTTAACAGGTACCCCCGGGTGATTCTGAAGCACGCTGGAGTTTGAGAGGCACTGGGTTAGTGTTTAGTTTTAGTGAACAGCAGAAGGTGCTCCCAACACAGTTTGGCCTGAAGTCCGCTAGTGGCAGGTGAGAAGGGGAAAGAATCAGGGCACAGACACACAGAGGTAGATGCAGTGAAAAGGCAGTTTATTGTCTATTAATACTGTACAGAGGAACAGAGAGAAGCTACAAGTACAGCATCAGCTGTCGCTGGCAGTGTCTTTTCTGAAGTCAGTTTTTATTTTGTTTTTCATCTGAAGGAAACAGAACAGTCAAAGTACACTTCAGGTTACAAAGTACAGCAGCTAGCCCAGTAAGCTAATTCAGAGTAAGCACGACAGGCTCCCACCCCACCCCCACCAACCAACCACAAATGAAAGTATTTACAGAGACGTCACTCACCCCGAGTGAGATGCTAAAGCTGAAAATTTCACCAACAACCTACATTCACTGAAAAGCTGCATCAGACACAACATTTTCTGGAACCCCTGTATGATTTTGACTCTCCTAAGTCAGGAGCTTGAGAGGAGGAAAGAATGTTCCAGAACCCTGCAAAGAATAGAACTCTTCCCACCTGCCAGAATAGGGTATCACAGAATTGGAGTTGGAGCTACATACAGAATAGTTCGGATCAGGCATTGCCTGGTGGCCTGTGTGTATATCAAGACCTGTCATTGCAAAACTAAGTGACTGGATGTCTCCCTGCCCACTTAATCTCAAAACCGAGAGGTTCCTTAGTAATAAGAGATTAGAGTAAACTGGCTCTCCATTAGCACCTTCAGGCAATTGCATAGTTCTTTCATTTTTGGAGTTGTCTCCATGACAGCAGTGTTCACAGCTGGGCTGGAGTTGGGCCTGTTGGAGAGATTCTGGTGATGAAGGAATTTAAACGATTTGCATGGGAACCAGAGGGGTTATTTCTCTTGAAAAATGGAGTAGATATAACCTTGTCTTGTTAGAAAAAGGGTCTTGATCTCTTGGGTAGTAGAAAAAGGCCTCATCCTGAGGAAGGATGATGCTTGGGAAGAGAGTCTCACAAGAGTGGTGAGTAGTTTCTGAGACATGACAACTCTGTCTGCGAGACAGAGGAGCAGGTGTTGGGGAAGAGCTTCAGAAAACTGAGTGTGATAGGGATGGGACTTCAGGAATTTGACAGAAACTTGGGGGGAAATATTCAGGAACTCTAAAAATTCAGAATCTCCTTTGTGGATAAAGACAATCTTTTCCTGTATCTACTTAACTCTAAAAATACGGTGCAGCCCTGTGTTATGTAGAAGGCCAATAATATCTGATAATTGTTTTTTTGTTTTTTTTTTTTTTGAGACAGAGTCTTGCTCTGTTGCCCAGGCTGGAATGGAGTGGCGAGATCTCGGCCCCCTACAGCCTCCACCTCCTGGGCTCAAGCGATCCTCCTGCCTCAGTCTCACAAGTAGCTGGGACTACAGGTGTGCGCCACCATGCTGGCTGATTTTTGTATTTTTTAGTAGAGACTAAACAACATGGTCTCACCATGTTGCCTAGGCTGGTCTTGAACTTCTGGGCTCACACTATTCTCCTGCCTTGGCCTCCCAGACTGCTGGGATTACAGGCATGAGCCACCACGTCTGGCTCCTGTAAGATTTATGTTGGTGGTTTATCTGCTTATGTATAGACTGAAGACGGTCAGAGGGCTCTGACTCACCGTTTCATATATTTTCTCAAATGCACCAGAGTGAGTGGTCCCTTAACCTCAAATGTGGCAATTACTCCTTAAATATGTGAAAGATTTAGACTTTGATAGTTTCTGGGCTTTGCTTGCATTTAAAATAGCTATCTCCTTCCCAAAGATTATTATATATTACTAAAGGTATAGCCCACAGAGCTATCAAGTCGTCTATCTAATCTACCTAATGGCAGGTGTAGAAAGCTCGATCTTCCAACCAATGCCTATTTGGAAACACTGGATCTCATGTAATGGCAGTGCAAGGCCAAGTGATAGGCCCTTTGTTCATGCCCCCAAGGCTTGGCCTAGTGCTATAGGACTCCCCAGAATGTTACCTTTAATGGAATGAAGAAATAGCTCAGTCAATCAAGGGTGTTTTCAAACTCAAGCTCCATAATGCATATAGATTTCATTATAAAAATACTATTCCTTAAAAAAATACATAAATGTAAAATATTCCATTTCTACAGCCACTCCTATTCCCACCCATATCATCCTACTCATCTTAGACTATAACGAATGGGCACATTCCTCAGTCATGGCTCAATCATAGAATTTGAGTCCATCTCTCTTGCTTTTTCAAGCAATGCCAGCTGTGCTTAAAAATATGCTCCCAGACCCAGTTGGGTGTCTGCAAGTTTCCTTCTCTCACAGTGGGAAGGACTGTGAGGAGATGACTGCAAGAGGTCATGCGCTCCATGTGGCCTGTCTCCCTGAAAGGCAGGGTGTGATTTTGCAGGCTCGTATGAGAACACAGACACGCGTTTGGTTGGTAGACAGGCAGAAGTAAATCCCAACCTATGCCCACTTTAGCCCCTTTGGACCACACCTGCAAGGTTCTGCCTCAATGCTCCTGTAATGAAACTCACAGCTCTGAAAAAGGCTGGGTAGGAGTGGGGAAGAGAATGTTGTGTTAATACAGCTTTGGAATACAACCTGCGTTTTTTTTAAAAGGACAGAAAAGAAGAACATAAACAGTGATGCTAAGGCAAACTGTCAAATGGCACATCAGTACTATTTTTTTGTCATTCATTTTGTTAACATCACAAGGCAGATACATTCTGTAAACATATATACCATACAGTACATTAACCATAGGAAAATAAAAAGAAAGCCACCCTGTAATTCTTTTCTTTCTGTATTTCTATTCTTTCACTCCAGAAGGACTGTCTGAAGTCTAGGGAGAATTTTATGATTTGTGAGATATACCTTTTATTTAATTTTTTTGTAAAAATGCAGTGACTTGCAAAAAATAGCCCCAGGTGATTATGAAGAGGCAATATGAGGAGAAGACAACCCTTTATACCTCAACCTGTAAAAACTTAGAAAACAGACACAAAATAGAAAAAGTCATTAATTTCAGAAAACATCTTGTTTTCCTGGTTAGTAAAAGAGAACATTGAAAAATTATTTTTATAAAAGTTAAGGCTGTCCAGATCTTTGATGCAGAAAGTCTGCAGTCCCCAAAATTACATATTATATTTTCATATTGAAAGCAAGTTCTTTTGTGCGACAGTTCCGACCTTCTTATGGTAGACTAGAAGGGAGAGGGGAAGCAGAGGCTTACTTAAGTTATATAAAAATTATGCGGGGAGCGCTGGTCTAAGGAGCCCTGGTAAAATTCCCCTTTGCGACTTTCAGGATGTAGTCTTTATTCTATACCTTTCTACATTCAAACAATCAGTATTTTGGTTTTTGTTGAAATGGGAATTTTATTAAGAAGTTTGCCGAAGCTATGAAAACACAGATACATATCTGCATTGTGCTCCTAATAAACGACTTTTCTTTTTCCCTAGAAAATGCAGGAAAGTTTTCCTGGTAATACCAGAAGAAGGCCTTTGTGAAGTGAACTGGTGGTAGCAGGAATCAAACATCCCATCTTCCTCATTACTTGTTTTATTATATAAATAACTCTGTGCTCTTGCTGTGTTGTACTATCCAATAGAACAAAGGATGTTTTCAGGTTCTATCCTAATCACTGGAGTTCTATACACCTTGATTAAGAAATTGAGGAGCACCCGAAAGATTGTGTATTTATGAAGTTTCTGAAACACCTATGTCTTACATATGCCGAGAATCTATGGTTTCAGTAGCAAATGTGCATATGGCAAAAATACAATGTGAAATGGCTCACTTTGGAATGATTTTTGTTGTAAACTAATATTGCAGGAGATGAGATTATTTGTTCCAGGAAAGGACCTGTTAGTGAGTAAAACTCTCCAGTGGGTCCAGGGATGAACAGAGATAACTGAGCTTCTAGATTTCAAGTCAATAATAAAAAGTCCTTGATGCTTATTCTGTCTATGTCCATCTGCGTTTTATATTGACAGGGCTAATATTTCTTACAAAGGAAGACCTGGTATAGTAGTTAGATTTTGTCTCTATGACCATGTTCCCTCCCTCCTCTTTTGCTACCATTGGTTCAACTGGCATTAAATAAATGGTAATTTTCAAGGGTGTGCAGTGGTCCCTTGAAATGAAATTCTGCAGGAAGTAAAGAGAAATAGTCTGTTTTTACACTTGGCCTCAACATTTTGCTCCAGAGATGATATTGTATCTCTAGGAAACTCTCTTTATATACTTCCCCTCCTTTTATAAAAACTTGACCCTAACCAAAACAAAATATTCTACTTGCTTGTAGATAAAATACATTTATCAGCAGGAAATTAAATGGAATAGGTAGACATTTTAAGCAAATACATGTCTATTAACATTTCAGAAAGGAACCAAATCAAATTAATAGAATTTGAGTTTCCCGAAAGTTTTGAATAATTCTAAGATTGCTCAGAAGGCTCAAGGAAACTGTGTTTTAGGTTTGGCCATAAGGGCATTCCCTACCTTCTCTTCCTCCCTATCACCAATATTAAATGATGTCACTAGACATTGTCAAATCAGTTATAGAGGCAATTATTATTTTTTTGCTTATGTAAGGAAAATAATACGGGTAAAAGAGACACAAGCTGAAAAAATTCCCCTTAGTTTGTCTTATTGCACACTAAAAGAAAGAAAATATTTTTAAGAAGTTAAGAATACAGAAGTCATTAAGATTTTTCAAGATATGTAGAATTAATCTTTATCATTTTAACCATTAAAGAATCTTTCATTAAATGCCATTGAAAATCTATTTATATACAAATGAGATACCCCTCCTTTTATTTTTTTCTCCTCCTTCTATTTAAAGGGAACTGATTATTTATTTATTTGTTTGTTTATTTTTTGAGAAGGAGTTTCGCTCTTGTTGCCCAGGATGGAGTGCAATGGCACATCTCGGCTCATCGCAACCTCTGCCTCCCAGATTCAAGTGATTCTCCTGCCTCAGCCTCCCGAGTAGCTGGGATTACAGGCATGCACCATCACGCCTGGCTAATTTTGTATTTTGTATTTTTATTTTATTTTTTTAAGTAGAGACGGGGTTTTTCCATGTTGGTCAGGCTGGTCTCGAACTCCCGACCTCAGGTGATCCATCCGCCTCGGCCTCCCAAAGTGCTGAAATTACAGGTGTAAGCCACTGCACCCGGCCTGATTATATGATTTTAAAGGAAAGCCCAACTAAACATTAGCTCAAAAAAGATCATGGTTTTGCAGTTTCATTACTGATATTTTCATCAGTCTGGTTATGTAACCAAATACCCTGCATTTTTGGAGAGTGTGATACCACACATAATAAAATTTATAGAGAGAATGCCAACGGCAGCAGGAAAGGCAGCATGTTCACAATCACAGCTCCATGTACACTATCATCACGAAGGGTAGTTACTTGCTGCTATAGGTGAGATTTTAGGTCTCATCCCGTAGAAGTACTGGCTAAGCCTGAATCCCCCATTATGACAGGAAAATGATGGGATATATGCAAATATATATGCCATATTCAAACACACCTTCATTTACTGTGGCTACAAATAGCTTGAATAAAGGTAACACATCTTACTTCAAAGTCCATTAAATCATAAGCTTTACTAATAAAAGTATAGAGAGAACTCGAATTCATATAATTTGCTAATCATTATCCCCCCATAATAGTAATTAGTGAAGAGAATACAGATAATCATTAATCTTTTAGTTCTTGTGTGTAGTGTTGTAGTAAGATGGGCAGAACATTTTCTTTATGAATAACTAGTTCACTTGGGCAAGGGTAGGTCCCTTCAGGGAATCATCTGTTCTGGAAGATTGATTCTGTTTATCAACCAGCAAGCTCAAGGGTTCTACATTCTACCATTTCACTCACTAACTGTGCTTACATTTTTAAAACTCACATTGAATAGCTTGAATCCCCAAGTGAGTAAAAAAGATAAGCTATGGTAAACTTTTAGATTGTTTCTTTCTTAAGTAAATCATTAAAATAACAGATTGTCCAAGACATTGAAACTGTGTTCTCCCTCTATGTAAACAGGTTTATCTGCAGGCCATTTTATGTGATGTCTAAATGATGCTTCAACGACCATGTACTCAGGAAAATGAAGCTGAGAGTAGCGCAATTTATAGGCATCCAAACCAGGTTTCTCGATAAAAGAGCAGTTTTATTCCATTGCAGCTGTTTTGATGAACTTGAGATTTAGAGATATTTCCCTCAGTTATTCAAAACCAAGCCTTGGATGAAATAATCTTCAACAGCAGAACTTAGCTCCTTTATTTTTCTCTTCTTTAACTTTTTCTGTTTACATATAGGTGTAAACAAAATGAGTATAATAAAGCGACCCATTTTGTGCTCATTAAAATGCAATTATTTCAGAAAATTAACTTTGAAAAGTAAAAACTGATGTTTTTACCTTTCCTATTGAAGTAAATATAATTTCAAGCCAGGAAATTTTAAAAATATATATATTTAGCACTGAATAAGCGAAATAGGTCAAATTAGACAGCTTCTATAATAAAATTCTCTCAAGACTATCTTATTTTTTTCTGATCTACTTTCCACAGAAGTTAGACTTGATGTAGTATATCATATGTTTTTTCAAAACTATATACTATGGGACATAACTTTATGAATAATTCATAACAATGCTATAAATGTTTGGGCAAATAAAGTTAAGATAACTCTTATTAAAACCAGTTATGTTATATCTTTATTTCATTACTATATTATTGTTACTTTATTAAGTTGTTTCCCTTTGGTTTTACTACATTTGTGGCTTTTTGCTTTGGGGGAGTGCTGAGAAGGTATTTCAAAAACTGTTCATTGTGTTCTAGATAAAAAATATTCTTTGCTCTTCTGGAATTTCCAGAAGCTAAAAACAAAAACAATGCCCTAATAAGCTCAGCTATGTGCCACTCAATATTTGTTATGAAATTAAGTGTTTAACATTGAAAAGACAGGTCTTTCCTAATTTTTATAAGTTTTTTAAAGTTTTTTTTTTTTTTTTTTTTTGAAGGGCAGATAAACCTACAAGTTGAAGTTACCTAAAACATTTTCTTTCTCATGGGGCCAGAAAGAAAAGAGTACAGATGCAAGGCTTTGTAATCAACCGGGCATGAGATGAACAGTTAATGCATTACAGCACCATCCATGATGAAGTGGGAGCATCATGGCAACCACTGTATGTTGGAAAGACTGTTTTAAAAATATGGTCACTGCAAAGATACTTCTCAAGATGATCCCCTCATTGAAAATAGATTAACATGACAAGAAAATGTCCATGAAAAAAGAAACAATATAAAAATTTACATTTTTTTTAAGAGAATAGAAACAAGGCTTGTGAATTTGCCTAAGTTTGGAGATCAATTGCTACTGATGCTTCAAACAATGTTTGTTTCATGTCCTTAGAAATTTTTAAATGGTGCTTCTTATATAAAGGGTTCATCGGTTAAACCATAGAAAGAGAGACAACCGCTGATGGGCAGGTTATGGAATCAGTCCCTACATTTCAGCTGTGACAAGCTCTGGGTTCTTCTACATCGACTTCATTTCAGTTTTAACAGAAAGAAAGTCACGAATGCACAATACTGTAATCTGGAAGCTTATGTAAGGCAGCAAAAAGCATCACCCTAGATCAGACAGACTAAGTAAGGTCCACTTTTGGCTACACTAGCAACCGGCTAGAGCCAACAGCATTTTGCCACACAAGATATAAAAACAAAGATCCACAGCAAAGGAGGCAAGTGAGAAACCAGGGACATGGCAGTGTGTGACTACGTTACAGGAACACACTACAAAATGAAACCCCCAGTGCCAATGGGTTCAATTCCAGTCAAGTGAGTTAAGGCTACCATATCACTGGCTGATACGAAGAGTCCATTCCAATCGAGCAGGAAGGAAGTGATTCACTCTTGAAGACACAAGGAAAGGTTTAGAGGAAAAGCAAGTTCTTGGAGAGAATGAAGCACACACATGCACGTTGTCTCTCAGGTGAGGAAAAGGAAAAAAATGAGAGAGATCAAAGCAATCCAACTGCAAGGCAAGGCAGGTGTTTGCTTCCAGTTCACAGTATTGCAGTTAGTGGTACAGTGAGGTCTACGTGAGTGATGGAGAGTACAGGCTGCCCAGAAGAAAGGAGAAGAAAGAAGTGGTCACATGACAACACAGCATTGACAGCGCTTTTTCTTTTGGGTACCTGGGGCTGGCTCTGTGGCTAGGCTCTCTTCCTTCCCTTCTGGGGATGAGGGCTCTGTGGTGTCTGAGACTGGCCTCCCGGACACAAGCTCAGCTGCGTTCCCGTCAATAGTGGACACGTCCGTCACTGTCTTCTCCCTCAATGACTTCTCATCATCTTCATCAATGAGGACCAATTCTGCCTTGATGGTTTCATCATAGCCTAGCACCTTTTTTGTCTCCTCTTCATCCTCGATATTTTGGTAGCCCATAAAAATCATGGTGACTGGCTGATCCAAGTTTGCATCTGGCCCTGCAGCGGTGGGGGCTTGGGCCTGCTGCCCTGGGTTCCCAGAAGAATGGTCTTTCCTAGACTTATGTACCATTTCTAACTTGGCTTCTTTGCAGAGCATGTGTTCCTTGGGATGGCTCAGACTCCCATCTGCAATCACAGTCCTTTCGGACACGTGCCCTGCTCCTAAGCTTGATTGTCCAGCCTTCTGAATAAGCTCTTCTACATCCTTTGCGCTTAATTTGTGCACTCCATTTTCTACTACGGTGCCTCCCGAGTGCACCTCATACACTACTTTGGTACCATCATCATAGACTTTGACTCCTTTCTGATGAACCCCCTCTGGACCAATGGTAGATGTAGAGAGAATCTTGGTCTCTCCTGTTTGTTTGTCTTTCTCCACATTAATTTCCATGGCGTACACAGCTTGAATGAAAACAAGAGAAAGGAAGTGCATGTTACAACAAAAAAAGCCAGTGAATGGTTAATTGCCAAACAGACAAAAAAAAAAGATTTTGTGCCCTTTCTATTCTAACTGCCAAGCATCTTGAGTGTTAGAGTGAGGTGCGCACTGTAAACAAAGGTGGTTATATCTGTATTTTAACACAGCAGTTTAATGCACTGGGAAGACAGATGCACAGTTGCTATATCTCAATGGCACTCACACATTTAAGGAAGATCTGCTAAAATAAGGGCACAAGAGACTTTAGATCTTGGTGTGAAGAATTTCAGGGAGGCTGGCAACATGCAAATTACCTTGATTGAGGCCTTCCCCAGCTGACAGACAATTTACAAACCCTTGGTTTAAATGTGTTCCACTTCCAAAATTTTAAATAAATAAAAAAACCTCTTTCATCAAGTGTTTTCATTTTCTCTACATTTCCACAAAGGTTTTTCAAGGTGGGAAATGGCTATCCTCCACTGTACTATACAATAGAATATTTTCAACAATTGAAAAGGCATGAGAGCATTCATATTATGTGCCCGGTGAGTACTTCAGTCACTAAGCTAGGTACCTAACATAAGAACTAAGAAAAGCACAAGACAGAAGTAACATCACAATAGGACACTGGAATTTGAAGACAATGATCGCAGAAGGCCTCTTTCATCTTCCATGCACAGAGCGCCAAGTCCTGCTGCCTATAATAGCTTTCCCATCTGTTGTCTTCTTTTTGTTCCATTGCTACTACTCAATGTAAGACATTCAATTCCTCTTCCCTAGATTGTTGGAAGAACTTCCTACCTGGTCTCCCCCTCCCCTTGCCCCTGCCTCTCAGTCTTGTATCCTTTTTAATTCATCCCAAATCTTGCTGCCAGTCTGGGGTTGCTAAGGACAGCTCTTTCCTGTCCTATAGACTCTTGTGACACCTCATACTTCCAAATTGGTTTCTCATAGGCTTCCCGGATGGGAAGAAACTGTGCACCAGGCCCACAGAGCCACCAGGCTCCAAGTGCCCTTTATCTGGATGTGCCATGAACCCATCAAACTCAGCAGCTTCCAAACTGACTCCAGCTTCTTCTGTCAAAACTATTCCACAGTCTCCGTGCCAAATAACAGCAGCACTGCTACCTAGTCTCTCAAGCCAGAGGCCTGAGAATCACGTCTGACTTGTTCTTTTCTTCCTACTTTCTTACAGCCAAACACTCACTGACAGTAAATAATTCTACTTCAGATATATCTCATCCATCTCCTCACCACCATTTCTATCACCAAGGCCTTAGTTCAGGCTCTCCTCTGCTCTCTGCACAACAGCCTTGTTTTTTATTTCACCTAACACTTCTGTCTTCTTGCTCTAGTCCAGGAGACTGCAAACTGTGGCCAGAGGGCCAAAGACAGCCTGACCCTGTTTCTGTATGGCCAGAGGAGCTAAGAGTGGTTTTACATTTGTAAAGGGTTGTGTTTATTTAAAAAAAAAAAAAAAAAGAAGGAGGAGGAGAAAAGGAGGAAAAGATGGAGGAAGGAAAGAGAAAAGAGAAAGAAAACAACGAATGTGCGACAAAGACTATATGGTCCACAAAGTCTAAAATAGTTAAAATCTGGCCATTTATACAAAAATTTTGCCGACCCCTGACAGCCTGTGCTCCATCCTGCCCACAGTTACTTGAGTCATAAACCCTTTGTTGGTTTCTTGTGTCTTTAGAAAATAAACACCAAACTCCCCAGCATGGCATATAGTTCCCTTCAGGATGTGTCTGCAACCTTCCTTTCTAGCCTTGTCTTGCGGCCTCTCTCATTCTTAACACATTGTGGCCATAACAACTTCTCACTATTCCCAGGACACTCAACTTCCTCCCACGGCTGCTCATTCGTGTGTCTGCTGTCCCTCTGCCTAGATAGCCTCCTGTTGCTCCTCTAGACTCCTAGAGATCTAGCCCGTGTCTGCTTATCATTGTCTTGAGTCCCTACCTCTTTCTGAATAAGTTCCCTGTGTTAAGAAGATCCAAACTCTCTTTTCAACCATATGTTCTAGTGCTCGTTTTCCCTTTAGCACAACCAAATAACACCATCCCAGACTTAAATATCTCCTGCTTTTGTTAAGATTCCCTTCTCCTGAAATGCCTTTGTTTTGAGTTTCTACATATCCAAATATAACCCATTGATTAACGCCAAGGTCAACTGCCTCCTCTTCCATACACTTTCTTTGATCCTTCCATCTCTAAGTCATCCTTCTCTTCTTAAAATTTTCTCAATACTTTTTCTAAACTTCTCTGAAGGCTCTTAACAATTACCACTCAGCTGTATAATTATTTGTGGGAATGTTTCATCAGCTTCATAGATTTTTAGGATCTTTTGAGGGTTAGTTTCTTGCCCAACACCTATCCATGACGCCCCCTCCCTGTCAGCACCTACCTTAGAGCCATTTGTATAGTAGGTACCTAATATACACATCTGTGAAACAAAGGCTAATAATTCAAGAGTCTAATATGATTGTTGTAATCTAGTAACAAATAGTTGGTATAATATGACACCAATGAAACGGTACACACAGTAATTAATGTTTGAACTTGTTTGAAATAATAACAGTGATGATATTGTTCCATCTGCTTGCATAATAAGATACAATCTGTTCCTGGTTAACACTTAACTAAAAAGATTATTAAACAAAATCCCATATTTGGTTTTCATCAGATCCATTTTGAAAGTTTCACTTGTTCAGCGTAAAGATCTCAAGTTTCTTCAAGTGACTCAATGGGAGGCCAACCAATATTTGTCATAGAGGTGCATGGGCACACACAATGACAGTGTATCCAAATAAACATTTATCTCAGTTAGTTCCTGATTTCTCACAAAATGTGCCATCAGAGGAATAGAATAGGTATTTAAAATTTGCATGGACTCCAAAAGCCTGTTCTCGAAATATTACACTTATTTTAAAAAGCACAGTCTGGGATTCGAATATTATATCTTATCACTATGAACAAACACTCGTGGGACATAGTTATAAATAAGGAAAGTAATAATTGTTAGTTTGTAGGTACGATAATTATTCTGCAAACATTCAGTAATCTGTGATCAAATCCACACATTGGCCTGCAATCAATACAGAATATAGAACAAAATATTTCTATTTTTATATCTATATGTGATAGGATAAAAATACAAATTATTACCAAGGGGATGTTTACAGATGTCCCTATCCCTCTGCCCACCCAATGAGAATGCTGGGATCATTGTTGGTCCAATTTTCTCTCATTTTAATCTTTGCCTGTTCTAGAATCAGAGACTGGAAGAAAGGAGAGAGGATGATGAAAAGTTCTTTGCTGGAAAGGTTAAGTACATCCACATATACACTGATGAGAAAGGAGTTTCGTGGGAGAGAGAGTAAAAACTGTGAAATACGGATAGAGAAGGAGTATTTTGTGGTGGTAAATGATGTTTTAGAGCAGGTGATATGTGGAGGAAAGAAAAGCGAATATGAGAAGTATTGCCTAGTGGAGATATAAATTAGGTCCTATTTATTTATTTATTTATTTATTATTTTTTGAGACAAAGTCTTACTCTGTCACCCAGGCTGAAGTGCAGTGGTGCGACCTTGGCTCACTGCAACCTCTGCCTCCCGGGTTCAAGCGATTCTCCTGCCTCAGCCTCCCACATAGCTGGGATTACAGGTATATGCCACCATGCCTGGCTAATTTTTGTATTTTTAGTAGAGATGGGGTTTCACCATGTTGACCAGGCCAGTCTCAGACTCCTGACCTCAAGTGATCCACCATCCTCAGCCTCCCAAAGTGCTGAGATTACAGGCATGAGCTACTGTACCCAGCCAAGGTCCCTTTTAATATCCTTCAGGAGAAATAGTTAAAGAACAGAACACCTTCTTAATGGTTTTTTGGTGTGTGATTTTAAGCTGTATTTCTTTAAATGTGACATGGCTCTGGGACTGAACCACATGTGACATGGTTTTATTAGGGTTACATATTTATATTTACATGTTGTACACTATTCTTCCAATATTCCTAGAATATGAGCATAGAATATTTTAAGCATTTTTATATAATTTTATAATAAAATAAACTTAGATATGTTATGTCACAAAATGCATATCTATTTTTTTCCTAGATAAAACATAAGGCTTCAGAGGAACCACAAATCACACTTAAGAGTATGATTCTACATTCCTTTCTGCATTCACTCTTTCCTCCAGTAAGGGTAACAAAGGTGAACACTTTGAGAAGCTCTGGCTTAACCCAAAGGCAATATTTAGTCTTCATGGATACATATATGAGAATGTTATCTAGGCCTTTTAGAAAGCCATGCAAGAGGTGTGAATGTTTAAATGTCGTCTTTATGAGTAAGCACTTATATTTTGCTTCAGCTGTCAGCCAATAATATTCAAAAGCATGAACTAGAGTATACATGAACCAGTAGGAAAATAAGACTTACGTTTTCAGTGCAATGTCTTATTTTTGATGCACACAATTTTAAAAACTCTTCTACTTTCTATTGCTGCCAAATGTTTATACCAACAGCCTCTCATGCTTATCATCCCTTCATCTCTAACCACAAAGCACAAAGCATACTCTCTAACCTGCCCTGTCTTCCCTCCAGCTTCTCCATGTCAGAGGTACACTACAATTTGTATAATGATGAGGGTCAAAGGGCTGGGTGCCTTTGTTCATCTTTTTAAAAAAATGAGGAGGGAGTGCTGTGGAGGGTTGAGGGAGCCCTGAAAGAAATCTTGAAACATACATGGACATACAGAAAAGTATTTGAAGGAAAGCTCTTGAAATATTCCAGGATGAAGGACCTGGAGAAGGAGGACAAGAAATAGAAGACAATTCAATGGAAGTTTCACTGACAGGCTGGCTGAAATCTGGAAGTATGCTTTTATTAAATTATGTATTTAATTATTGATTTCCAAACCTTATATATTGATGACAATGAGCTTGGAGTATATAAAACACGTTTGCTACTCCTTCCAAGA